GACCACTGCCCAATTTTGATATCTCCTACTGGTTTTTCCCCGACTTGTTCAATAAACAAGCCCTTTAGATTCCAGGCCGCTTGGATGACCCATGAGAAATTCAGAGCATTCATTGAAGAAAAATGGGATAAGAATGCCCCTTTAGTTACCCATCTGGAAAGAGTTGCGAGTGATCTCCAAGAATGGAATAAATCGGTCTTCCACAATATTTTTAAACAAAAGAGAAACCTTTTGGCATGAATTGCTGGTGTTCAGAAATGCCTCTCTCAGCAAAAATCGAGAGATCTAATTAAATTAGAAGCAAAATTACGTCATGAATTGGATAGTGTACTTGAACAAGAGGAACTATTGTGGTATCAAAACTCGATAGTGGAATGGATTCGTGACGGGGATAGAAACACTACTTTTTTCCACCTAAGTACTATTGCTCGAAGATGGAGGAACAAAATTTTAGCAATTGGAGACAGTGCAAATGGTGAATGGTTGCATGATAAGGAGGCTGTGAAAGAAAATGTTGTTATGTTTTTCCAGAATCTTTTTACGCGGGATGATGATTCAAACCAGGCTGAACTCCCGTCCGACTATTTCCAAGAATTTACTACTAGAGACTGGGAATTCTTGTCTCTCCCCTTCTCCAGGTGTGAAGTAGAATGCGTCGTCAAAAATATGGGTGCCTTGAAGGCCCCTGGACCAGACGGTTTCCAGGCTCTCTTCTTTCAAAAACACTGGGACATTGTGGCTGAAAATGTATATAAGGTTGCTCTTGAAGTATTGGCAGGAAAGGGCATTCCTGATAATCTGAATGATACCTTCCTAGTGCTAATCCCGAAAGTGGAGGCACCAGAACTAGCCTCGTAATTTAGGCCAATAAGCTTGTGTAATGTTGCTTATAAGATTATTACTAAAACCATTGTTAATCACATAAAACCGATGATGCCATACCTTACCTCCTGTAAACAGACTAGTTTCGTACCCGGTAGACAAATAACAGACAACATTATCATAGTCCAGGAAGTACTTCACACCATGAAGAGCAAGACTGGAAAGGTGGGTTATATGGCGATTAAAATTGATTTTGAGAAAGCTTATGATCGTCTCCGTTGGGACTTTATCCACGACACTCTGCTTGAAATCCGCTTCCCTCCTGTTATCATTGAGGTGATTATGCAATGCATCTCTACGTCCTCAATAAAGGTGCTATGGAATGGAGAACCTTCAAGGACCTTCCAACCCCAGAAGGGAATTCGTCAAGGTGATCCCTTGTCACCTTATTTGTTTGTACTGTGTATGGAACGACTAAACCACATCATCGAAGAATCCATAATCCATAACCATTGGAAACCAATTTACGCGAGTCGCAAGGGCCCAAAGCTATCCAACTTATGTTTTGCAGATGATGTCGTGCTATTTGGGGAAGCCTCTGTGGAGCAAGCCCAAATCATAAAGAGCTTCCTATCTCGTTTCTGTGATGCTTCTGGCCAGAAAATTAGTTACAGCAAGTCAAGAGTCTATTTCTCAAATAATATGAACACTGAAGATAAAAATAGCGTGTGCACAACCCTAGGGATTGAGCAAACAGATGACTTTGGCACCTATTTAGGGATGCCAACATTGACTAGCATAGTAACACGAGATACTTTTGCCTATTTATGTGAAAAAATTAACAGAAGACTCTCGGGCTGGAGGTCAAAATTTCTATCTCTTGTTGGGAGAATAACTCTAGCTAAATCAACTTTGAACACTATGAGCACATATGCAATGCAGACAACAAAGATCCCTAGAGGTGTTTGTGATGAGATTGATAAACGAACACGCAGGTTCATTTGGGGTGGTAGTGAGGAGTGTCGCAGAATTCACCTCCTTTCTTGGGAAAAACTCCAACTACCCAAGGATCAGGGAGGGCTAGGATTGCGTGACTCTAGAAATATTAACTCTACGTTTCTTACCAAGTTGGGGTGGAGAGTACTGACAGAACCGCACTCCTTATGGTCTTCCGTATTAAGAGCAAAGTACTGTAAAGGAAGATGTGATCTTGAGATGTTCAAACCAAAATCAAACATGTCGAATGTGTGGAAGGGGATAGTAGAGAATAGTGTGTACTTGCAAGAAGGTGCGAGAGTGGCTGTGTGCAATGGTGCGACCACCCTATTTTAGGATCATAAATGGGTCGGTCACCACACTTTGAGGAGTTTAGTGATAGCTGATATCCCCTCTGAGTTAGATGGAGCTAGAGTGGTTGACATGTGGGATAATATTATTAGTTGGAAGTGGGAGTTATTTGCTGATCTTCTCCCGAGCAATAGTATTCAATGCATTGAGGCCTATGCTATTCATCTAGATTCAAGCATAGGTGATCTCCTTTATTGGGGAGGCTCAGCAAAGGGTCGGTTTACCATTAAGTCTGCAATGAAGATAATTAAAAAAGAGGAAGAGGCACCAAATGATGGAATTTGGGAGCTAGCATGGAGTCTAAAAGTTCCACAAAGAATTAAGGTTTTCATGTGGCTTGTACTGCACGATCGCATTATGACAAATGCAAATAGATTCAAGCGAAACCTTACGGAGGATCCTAGGTGCATAGTTTGTAATACTCAGGATGATACGACGCTCCACCTCTTAAGGGACTGTAAAATGGCTAGAGATATCTGGAGGCAAATTGGCGGTCCAACGAGTATTAGGAGCTTCTTTGAAGGTAGCTTACAGCAATGGATGATCCGCAACATTAAACATCAAGTACGTAATGATCAATCCCCTGAAATATGGCCCATGTATTTTGCTATTGTCTGCTGGTGGATTTGGAAATGGAGAAATAACATAGTTTTTGGGAAAGCACTTGAGAATCCAACGGATGTTAAGCAATTTCTCCTAACTCGTTTTGAAGAAACCTGACGAAGTCTAGGGGATGGAGAAAACACTTACAGCAATCCAGCAGGAAGGAGAAACGAGGTCTTCATCAAATGGCTAGCCCCTCCACAGGGCTGGTTGGCCCTTAACACGGATGGAGCAGCAAAAGGGGCACCTGGGCCAGCTGGAGGAGGTGGTGTTATTAGAGATTTTACAGGAAAATTGCTATATGCATACTCTCTTAATCTCGGCTCATGCAATGCCTTCATGGCTGAGGCTCGAGCTTTGTCATACGGGCTGGATTTTATCGCAAGACTTTCCCCTCAAAAAGTGCAGATTCAATTGGACAGTAAAGCTTTAGTGCTGACCTTGAATGGTAGAAGTGATTATAGTGGCGAAAGTGTTCATATAGTCAATAGATGCAGAGAGATTATTGAAGATGTGAATTGGCAAGTGGAAGTACATCATATCTACAGAGAAGCGAATAGAGCTGCAGACTGGCTAGCTAATCAAGGTGTCAATCAGAACAGCAAGATCGAGCTGATTCAAGTCCCCCTTTTATCTCTGGGTCGTATTTTGTATGATGATGTAGTTGGTGTGGCAATGCCACGTTTAGTTCCAGCATAGTTTAATTTCTGTTTTTCTCTCGGGGTCTTTCCCCTCATTTGCATCAAAAAAAAAAAAAGACAAAAGTTAGAAAGAGGAAATGAATGAAGTACATAAAAAAGGTGAAAAGTACAATTATAGACAAAAATTAGAGAGAGAAAGTGGGAAAAAGTACAAAACAAGTGGAAAATTTATGGGTAATTTAGAAAGCATAATGAATAAAGTTAAAAAAATGAGGATATAATGATCTTTACATTCTATCCAAAAATAGAAATAGGAACAACATTTTGGTTCTCCAAAATAGGAAAACAAGAACTATAATATGAGACGGAGGGAGTAAGTTGTTTTACTTAAATTATCCTTAAAGAATGAAATTGTGATACGGAGTATGTGTTAGTGAAAAATATGCCATAGATAACTTAGGTTAATTTTGTTTATTTACGGAAAAATTAATTCTGATAAGATAAGTTCAAGAAATAAGTTTTAATCAATTATGAATATAGCTAAATAATCTTTGTTTTTATTTTAAACCTCTCTTTTCTCTCTCTAAAACCGTTGAATCCAGTATACTCGTGTGGTTTTAAAGGGGCTTCTATTGGTTAACACTAGTGGAAAGCCCCAATCTTTATTTCTCGTGTGAATTTTATTTTATTTTATTTGCTTTTGTTTGTTTTTAGGTTTTTAATAAGCCTTTCTATATAGGAGGATTTTTTTCTCTCTCGAAAGAAAGGTTTTTCTTTCTTTTTAGGAGGATCCTTTTTCGAAAGACATAATTTTTCTTCCCCTCTTTTAAGGGAGAATTTGCTTTGATAAAATTATGATGTGGCAAGCCAAAACTATATCCCTTGGAGCTAACCGTTTTGAATGCTTTAGGCTTTCATGTGTTGTGCTATGAAACTCTTTACCCAAGTACAGAATATCAACTTAGGTGGTAGAAGATGACAATATTATCCATCTGTCTTTTTTTTGTTAATACAAATCTTCTCTCTTATATAACAAAAAGTTTGGTCATCCACTGGCTTCAATCTCAGAGACGAGCCAATTATTTTATTTCAGTCTTGTAAACTCAAATTTGGTTAAACAAATTAGCCCCTCAAGTAGCAAATTGTGAGGTACTTGAAAGTTAAAACAGATTAGGGATGACTATATAGTACTCCATCCGTCTCTTATTTTTTTGCCCCTTAGCAAAATATGGGTCAAACTTTTAAAACTTTAACCATAAATTCTCGTTAATCTACAAATGATAATATATTCAAGTAGGACCTTGTTAAAATCGTTTTATGATATATATTATTAATATCAAGTTTTTATATTTTTTACACTTATAAAAATAGAGATATATACGTTTGAAGACACATCTTAGAATCCATAAAAAGTCAAATGGGGCAAAAAAATAAAATAAAAAAGAGGAAGTAATCATTATGTCGTAACAAGCCAAATTATTTTTAGAAGGCCTGGTCACTAGTCAGTATCAACTCCTTTACATCTGATGTTTATAAAAAAATATCCACTTCTGCAGTGTACTACAATAGTTTTATAAGGCCTGGTCATTGGATTCTCTTCTGCCTATTCATACTCCTAGTACGAGTACGTAGTTTTATTTATTTACTTTGCATTTTCTGCGTATAATACTTTGTGAACTGTTACAAGATCAAATAATGCAAGTTCTACAGAATTGCAGAATTTCTTTTAACTATTGATAAAAGTCACTTTCTAATTTACCAAAGTTTCAAGCCTAATATAAAGTCATGGAGAACACACGAGTTCCATTAGCAGATCATTCTAAAACATTCTAACACAACACGACATTACGAAGTTCATAGCAACACATTGTGATGTGTAGCTCTGTGGGAACCCAAGGAGTTTGTAGTCACCCCAAAGCTACAAAGTACAACAACAGCGATAGTAAATCACATGTGAATCTCAGTATAATGATTTTATGGGTAGCCACCGCGACCCGCTGACAAAGACCGCTCCCTACGCCTCCGGTATGTGTCAGGATAATCATCTGGTCTCCTTCCATAGGGAGAACGTGATCGTCCTCGCCTGTCACGAGGATAAGGATCTCTATCATAATGACCTCTATCATACCGCCGGCGAGGAGAAAAACTGCGAGACCGTCTACGACCTCGACCTGCAGGATTTTCAGATAAAGTGTACATCAATGAGCAAGTGAATCCTTCTCAACATATCTAACTAAAATTGTAGGTGGATTAAAGAGAAAGTGCTTGTAGAGCCAATCTGGAGAAGGAAAGAATTAGAGCCAAAAGGACCACAATGCAGATTTTCTAAGAAAATCAGGAATGTAAGAGACATAAAAATTTCCAACCTACCACAAAATGAAGTTTGTCAGCAGATGTTGTCTAAACCAAAATAGCAATTATGCAATTTCAAATTCCTATAAAAATCTCCAATACTGGTTTTGGAAAAAAAAAAAAAAAAAATCATCTTAACAAATTATTGCAGAAATCTACAAACAGAAAAAAAAAAAAAAAAAAGATCATAATGGTGCATGAAATACCCATTTCTTTCAAACAAACTATTTCTGATAAGATCGCATTAATTTGATGTTAACTAAATTTTGGAAAGACCATACTACTTTGACATGAAAACTTGTGCTCACTAAAATATCTATTACGAGCAGTTGCTTTCTTAAGTGAATGATAATAACCCTGCCCATCAACTGTTAATAAAATATTAACACTCCCCACGCATGTGTTGGTAACTTGTGTAACAAGGCTGGTTACAAAATTAAGAAGTCAAAGAGTGGGTGGACATGGTAGCAGCTAGCAGTAGTAGAAAGGGATAGTGTGGGCTATGGACTAGAGAGCAAGGGGGTGTGTTGTTAGAATTGGATTGCCTGCGAATTATTTCCCCTCTTACTAGTATTTTGCTTTTTAATTGACCTTGATATCGTGTAAGAAGATGCTCTGTTTTAAGTACTCGTAAATCTCCAGAAGCAGTTAGATGGCACATGTCAAAAGAATTGAAGATACTGCTGGGAGAACCAGGGCCTGCAGAGGTCTTTTTATAAGTGCAATTGGACATTTTGTCCTTTCATAAATGTACTAATAGCTAGGTTATCTATACATAAGGAAAAAACCCATGGTGAAATGTGAATATGAATATGTTTGTCAATTAGCATTTAACACAAGTACTATTCAAAACTAAGGCTTTGGACTCTATTCTTAAACTCAGTTTAAATGCCATAGGTGGTCTTTCTCAATATCTGTGAACTTCACATGCATGCTATGGCTATTATCCAGATTCATGTTTTTTGTTTGTTCTCCTGTTTTTGAGGATCATGAACAAGTGTTCATGTCCATTTGAGGTGTGGGTGAGAGCATAAGTAGGTATATACGACTTATGAAAAGACATAGATAAAGCTAGGACTTGTTTTACTTATGAAAGATATAAACACAACTTTAATTAATAAACACATCCCATACCTCTTGGTGGTCCTCGTTCTTTCCTTAGACCCTGGTATCGACCAGGAGTTGGTGTCCTCCCACGGGACCTTTTTGCCTACAGATGAAATGGAATTTGTCACATCAAATAGGATACAAAAGTTGCATCACAGTTGAACTACCTCCCTCTTCTGGCGAATCACATTGACAAAGGGGTATAAGATATAGCATGCAAGTTCTAAACGATATCTATTCTCGGTAATAGAACAAGTAACAAAACCCCACATTACCTCATGTTCATCTACACCTTTCCCACAATTTTGTCAATGCATTTGTAAGCAGGAAAACATAATCCTTTAAAAGGTCTCCGACTTTAAAAGACACAAAATTATCTCACTACAGCTGAAAGTGCGAGACCATAAAAATGAGACTACTGAATTATTTACCATTTTTACGGTTTTTGAAAATTAAAGTAGGTCTAAAACATCGATGATGTGTCTGCTATCTGATGAAGAAATGGGATTGAGGGCATAGACCCCTTGCAATTAGTCGGTTCAAATCGATGAGCAATGTCGATGAAGAGCTCATGTCGTGAAGGGGACAAGTCAACTGTTAGAGCATAGATTGATTTCGATGGAGCTACAATTTCATAACCTGCTGCCAAAACTAATTAAAAAGCAATCCATGCAGGGGGGAAACTAAAAAGCACCAAACTCACACAGATTTTATCGACAAAGACACCCTAAAGAAGACAAACCTTTTCCACTGAGACCAGTCGCCCCTCAAGCACAGATCGATTCAGATACTTGATACATCGTTCAGCTTGTTCCCTAGTTTCCATTGTAACAAATGCAAAACCACGGGATTCTTTGGTGCGAGGATCAGTAACCAAACAGCATTCAAGGACCTACAAAAGTGAAACATTCTTTATACAATTGTACTCAAAGACAAAGACAAGGTTTTATAGGAAACATATAATAAAAACATATGCTTCTTTGTTTATAGCTTAAAAAGAAAAGTGGGAACTATAGATGGTCTAAAACGATTGTATGGCTTCTGAATCAATTGCCAGAGGTTTTAAGCACTAAGCCATGGAATCCGGAATCCTCCGTTACCCCCCTACCCCATCTCCCCTCTTAAGAAGCATTGCACATTTGCACCCTTTAACATCAGCAAATCTTCCACAGTAACCATACATCACTGGAGAATCAAGAATTATACATTACTAATAGAGTAATAGCCAGTCAAGATGTGCTAAATGAAATTATTGCTCACTCAGATAACATAAATATTCAAGCTTTAAGGCAATTATATATGTAGTAGAAATTATTATAATATCGAACTATTGGATCATCAGGGATCCTGATTTTCAACTATTTATAGAGGAGATGCACCAAACTGTTCAGTATGTTACTCAAACTCATTAGAAGTACCTAACAAAGATACAAAAAGATATTCCATTTTTTCAATTCATTTGCAAAGATGATTCATGGATAGCCGGATAGGTATGCATATATATTCTCAGCATCACATAGACACATATGTGGCGGGTTTGGGTTAACGGGGCAATTGGAAATTTGGAGCAACAGAAGTTATGTTAAACTCATATAGCCTAGTTCTTCTTTTTTGCACTCAATTCAGTAAAAGAAGCACATTTAACATTTCAAAGCACTTCATTTCACTTCATCTTGCTCTAAAAGCAAAAGGGAAGAAAGAGGATGATTGCAGCTATCAAAACCACATCGATGCTCCCTTCCTTCCAATGACATACAAGGAAGAATATCCAATTACACAAAGCCACTAGCAATCTAGCATGATTGAAAACACTAAAAGCCTAAACTTGCAATAAGTAGGATACCCATTTCTCAAGAATTGCACTTTGATACCAAAAGAGATCCATACCTTCCCTTCTTTGCTGAAGAACTTCTCGAGATCACTGTTAGTAACCCTAGTGGATAAGGCAGTCACATACAAATTGTTTCCAGGGTTTGATGCATCTTCAGGACTCCTAAAACAACATAATCCAATAAATCAGAAAATGAGCAAGCTAAAAAATCAAAGTTACCTAAATTCCAATTCAACAAGTATTGTATAAGGCTTAGTCATGCACGACTAGTTCAACATCGCACATATATATTCCTCTCCATTTCAATGTCAGCCATAATCTAACTTATTAAATACATGTTAGAATGACTAAAAATTATAAAGGCGTAATGAAATATACCCAGATCGACTTCGTCTGGGAGGTGACTTTGACCTCGACCTTGATCTCGATCGTTGATGCCTAGGATTGATCACAGGTGAAGCAGAGCCATTTGGTGACGGCGACCTAATAACACACACCATGCACCAAAACATAAATAAACAATTGAATTTAACAAATAGTAAAACATAAGAATAGCTGCTAAAAGATGAAAAAACACCAAAAATGTTCATAATAAACAACACTTAATCAACCAACTAACCTTTCATCCCTCGAATTTGACATCTAAATCATAAAACAAAAACAAAAAATGTATCATTAAGATCCCCACATCACAACTATATTGAACAAAAGTAAAGGTGCAATTTTGAGTACAGAAAATTTTAAAATTCCAAATTTCCAGAGCAAAAATCTACCTTTATTATATATTTTTTTTCATATGAATAATTCATAGATTATATGTTAAGTGAATTATTGATAACGAAGAGGCAAGCTCAACCCCTTTTTCAGTTCCCTTCAAATTCTTTCAAATAATCAAATAAAAAATTCAAGGGTTCTGAAATTGTAAGAAAATAGAGCTTAATAGATACAAAACAAAAATAAAAGTTGAAATTGGAAAAAAGGGTTTTTTTTTTTTTTTTTTTTTTTTTTTCCGGATTTACAAAATCTAGGGTTCTTGGTGAATTGAAATACAATTTCATAATAGACCGAAGAAAAGGGGTAGAATTGAAGAAATTGAACAAAAATTACAGCTGAAAATTTAGAGAGAAGAGGAATTACCTTGATTCGAGGAGCAGAAATGAAGTGGGTTGATGATTTTTTTGAGGATAAATGAAAGAAATACAGAAAAGTGGGGCTTTAATAGTTTAATCGAATCCTACCATGATTCAGCTTGTACAGTACCTCCTTTCTTGCAAAAACAATGTCTTAATTTTTTTTGGACGAAACAATGTCCTAATTACTCCCACGGTAATTGGTGATTTGGTGTTATAGACTAGGCCCTGTTCTTATGAGCTGTTTTGTTCGATCTGCTCTGCTCTGCTCTGTTGGAATCCGTTCTGCATTGCTCTGCTCTATCCTGCCTTGCTATGCTCTATTCTGCCCTGCTATGCCCTGCTTAAAAATAATAATAATAATTATTAATATTTTAGGAAAAATTCATGGCAATAATCCGACCTTTAGCCCATTCTTTTTTAATAATCCGACCTTTGGGGGTCTTTAATTTTTATTGGTTCCAACCGGTCATGTAACCCGTTATAACAGGTTACATGACACGTGGCGGCCTGTGATTGGTAAAAAAAATTAAAAAAAAAAAACAAAAAAACAAAAACAAAAAATAAACAAAAAAACAGAAAAAAAAATAACAAAAAAAATAAAACAGCCAGCCACCAGGAAGCCAGCCCAGCCACCAGGGAGCCAGCCCAGCCACCAGCCCAGGCCAGCCCCTTGCCGCCGGTACCTGCTCCAGCAGACGCGTCGGCGGCCGCTGGCCTACCTCCCCTTCCCTCTCCCCCTGCTCTTGCCCTACCATCACCAGCAAACCGAACCACCCCCGCCCCCGCATCTCCCTCTCTCGCTCCCTCACTGCCACCATAGCAGCCCATTTGGTGGTGTTAGGTGGGGGAATAGGGTTTATGGGGGCCGGAAAACATGGTAAGGGTGGTTTCGGGGCTGCGGTGGTCGAGAAGGGGTTGCGGTGATGGAAGGTGGAGGTTGGTTGCGGTTTTCGCGGATTAGGGTTCCTTTGGATGGGTGGGGCTACGGTTAAGGGGAGGTCGGAGTAATAGGGGATGGTTCGGCCGGCGGTGGGTGAGCTGGACGCCGACCGACTGATTTCTAGGCTGGGGGAGAGGGGAGCTGCATGAAGGGGAGGAGGAGAGGGAATGGTGGTAGGGGTGGTGGGGAAGGTTGTGGCAAGGGTGTGGTTTTTTTTTTTTTTAATTTTGGACAAATCAAATTGTGACACGTGTAAATTAAACTTAAAAAAAAAAATTTACCTTTTCAACCGGTTTCTGGTCAAATGGGACCAATAAAAATTAAAGACCCCCAAAGGTTGGATTATTAAATAATAATCGAAAGGTCGGATTATTAAAAAAGAATGGGCTAAAGGTCGGATTATTGCCATGAATTTTTCCAATATTTTATAATAATAACTAATATTTATAGATAATAATAATAATTAATATTTAATAATAATAATAATTAATATTTAATAATAATAATAATAATAATGATTAATATATAATATTAATTGATAATAATAACTAATATTTAATGATGATAATTAATATTTTATATTTTTTTAACACATTTTTTAATGTTATAAAAAGAGAAAAATCTAAAAAAAGTCATATAGTAATAGTAATAGTAATAGTAATAGTAATAGTAATAGTAATAGTAATAGTAATAATAATAATAATAATAATAATAATAATAATAATAATAATAATAATAATTGTATTACGGGGACCACACCTTATGGTCGTCTCAGGGGGTACAGCAAGGTGATCCCCTTGGTCCTCTGCTTTTTGCTTTGGTTTTACAGCCTCTGGTGTGTAAAATCAGAGACACTTTTGATGTATGTCTTCAGGTTTGGTATTTGGATGACGTCACTGTCATTGGTGACACGTTGATTGTGGGGAAGGTTCTGCAGTTGATTATGGAGGAAGGGCCTCGTTTTGGGTTACATCTCAACGTGGAAAAAACTGAAGTTTTCTGGCCTATAGAAGACCCCCGAAGCAGGCTTGTGGGTGTCTTTCCACCTAATATTGCTCGACCCTTACGTGGTGTTAAGTTGCTTGGTGGTCCGGCCAGTTTTGATTCTGGGTTTAGAGGTGAGCTTGTGATGCAAAGGGTTACCAAGACCATTGCGCTTATGGATAGGGTTGCTAAGCTTGATGATCCACAATGCGAGCTGTTGTTGCTTAGGGCTTGTACCGGAGTTCCGAAACTCTACTTTGCTTTGCGTACTTGTCCACCTAGTACTTTTGAGGAGGCTCAGCACACATTTGACAAGGCTCTTCGATTTTCCTTGGAGCGTATTGTTGTTGCTTCAGGGCCTGGGTTTGGCGATTGACAGTGGCGGCTTGCCACCTTACCTTTTGTGTATGGCGGGCTTGGTGTTTATTCCGCAGGTGATGTTCGTCATTATGCTTTTCTTGCTTCGCGATTACAGTCTGCTGGGTTGCAAACAAAGCTTCTACGGCATGCTGGCGTTGTTAGCCTTGGTCGAGCCTTTGAGGATGCGTTGAGCCTGTTCAATAGAACGGTGGAGTCTGACATATTGAGTAATCCTAGTGAGGTCGCTGCCCCTAAACTCATGAAGAAATTGGCAGATATATATATTTCACAAAGGTTACCGATTCTGCAGAATCCACCTTCTCTTTATCTCCTCGTCAATCAGCATTGTGGAAATCGCAGTAGGGAGATCACACCTCTGCTTGGCTTCGGGCGGTTCCTATTTCGGGGTTAGGACAGACGATGAACGCAAAGACTTATCGATGTGTGTTGTGCTACCGGATGGGTGTTCCATTGTTCTCTGTCTCGACGCCGTGCTCTGCTTGTTCTCGGGTTTTTCTTAGGGATATTTTCAGTGATCACGCGGTGTCATGTGCTGGTATTGTGGATCTTAAACATCGACATAATGTTGTCCGGGATACCTTTGTTGATATCTGCTACAGATTTGGTATTTCAGCAAGAAAGGAGGTTGACATAGGTTTGTCTGGAGGGAATGACGGGGCCCTCAGACCTGCTGATGTGTTACTTTATTCCTGGGATCGTGGTCGCGATGTGTGTGTGGACTTAACAGGGTCTTCTCCTTTGACACAGACGGGGCTATCTGACTTTGTTCCTGGACGAGTTGTGGCTGATGCGGCTCATCGGAAGCGGGTGAAGTATGCAGCTAGTTGCCAACTGATTGGATATGGTTTCATTCCCTTCTCCTTTTCTTCGCTTGGGGAATTAGAGAAGGAGGCTGTTGCGTTGCTGAAGCGGGTTCAGAGGTTCTCGACGACGCAAGACATTGGGACTCGTGCTGCAGCTCATATCTTCATTAGGGTAGGCTTTGCTATAGCTAGAGGAGTGGGGGCCGAGATTGTATGTCGGCTTCCCACTAATTTATTGTAGGTTGTATGACTTTGTCTGTTTTTGAGATAATAATAATAATAATAATAATAATAATAATAATAATAATAATAATAATAATAATAATAATAATAATATTAATAATAATAATAATAATAATAATTCTGAAATCTGCTCTGCTTTGCCCTGCCTTGCCTTGCTTTGCTCTTTTCTATACCTCTGCTGAAATCTGCTCTGCTCTGCTCTGCTGTGCCTAGAAGCTCAAAAGAATAGGGACTTATAGTGTTATTGTCCCATATTACTATATTAGTCGTTGGTCGTTACAGATCCCATCCGCATGCATTAAGTTATTAATGGGACACTATTAGTGTGACAGTATAGGGTGCTCATCTAGCTAGTCGAGTCCCGAGTCGAGCACCGTACTCGACTCGACTCGAAAACTTTTTACCTGTGTTCAACTCGTGCTCACTAAAGTTTTGAGTGTATAAAACCTGCTTGACTTGTGCTTGTTAAAATTTCGAGTCGAGTCTAGCCGAGTAGCTCACGATCTGCTTCTTAAAGTTTTGATCCTTCTAAAATTATAGGCCTTTAATTTTTTTTTTTTTTCACTTTATATAATATTCTTTTTTATTTGTTTATTATTAAAGATTTACTATTTCTTTTTTGATAATATAAATAAACTCTTATTAAGTGTTAAATTTTTTTAACCATGGTAACTTTGTTTGTAAATTATGTATTAATAAAATTTATCATCGAGTTGCTCACGAGCTTATCGAGTCGAGTTAGAGCTTGCTCAACTCGTGCTCGTTAATATCTCGAGTCGAGCCGAATTCGAGTGAACCCAAATCGAGTCGAGTTTTGACCGAGTCGAGTTTAAGTTGCTCGCGAGCTGCTCTACTCAATTAGCACCCCTAGGCAGGATATAATATTTTGCCTTTTTGTTTACTCTGTTTATTTTGTGGCAAAAAGAAGACGTCTTATCATATTGGAGCCGTTTAGGCTCTTACAGGTCAAGTGATAAGATGAGAACAACAAACTCACAACAAAGATATGGGGAAATACATTCACAAGTAAAGAGCCTTAAGTTGGAAATCATTGCTTGAAGTAAAAATCAACCTTAAACTCTAATGATCCCATGGGGCTTTCCATCAATAAGAGAAAATAAAAGAAAAAATAGAAATTAAAAATCCAACTTTTGCACTTTCTTCTCTAAAAAATCCAACCTTAAGTTTATTCCACAAAAATCCAACCTTTACCCCTATTTCATCTAAAGATCCATTACTTGTTGATGACCGGTTTTTGTAAGTTATATGCCACGTGTCATCTATTAATAGGTCAATTATTTTTTAATTATTAAAAAACAAAAAATTAAAATTAAAAAATTAAAAAATAAAACAAAAAAAATTCAGAAAACCCAACCCCACCCTCCTTCCCTGACCACTTCATCCCCACCGGCCACCAAAACCTAGCAACCCCATTCCCCTCTCCACCAGAAAACCCACACCAGTCCTCCCGCCGGCCAGCCACCCCTACACCGCACAACAACTCACGCTACTAAAACACCTGACCACCGGACCACCAATCACGCCAACCACCTGACCACCAACCCGCCGACAACACCCTTTAAATCCTAACTCCATCTCCCCTGAAAGTCTGAACCGACCACCCAACCGATGAAACCCCCTTCCACGAAAATACCCGCCCACGAAACAACCTTTGAGGACTTTGAAACCGACCACCCAAACGATCAACTTCAACCGTTTCTTCAA